CTGCAGATTTTCTGTGGTCAGATGGAAAAAGTGCAACAGATTGGCCCAGGTGGAGATTACTCCATCCACACAGTTAAGTGTAGATGGAGGAATCTGTTGCACCTTTTCCATCTGACCACAGAAAATCTGCAGATAATTGTAAGGTGTATGGCCAGCTTAAGAAAAGCTCAGGTTCGGAACTGCTTTGGTCTGAACTTGAGCTCATCCCTAGTAACAACAAGTACTTTTACTTACCTGATCGGCTTTCAACTCCCTCGGGGCCATAACGTATGATGTAGGGTTTATTGGCCCTGCATTGTACTTGCCTGCGACCACTTTATAGAAGAGGCTGAGGGACCCAGTTGCATACCATGAAGTGAGCCTGCAGGAGTGAGGGTTGTGGGTACCCTGGGAATAAATGTGCTTTTAAACCTTGTAGTGAAAGGGAATTTTTTTTTCTTTTTCCTGGAGTGCAGCTTTAAAACCATAATAATGATATTAATAAATATAATATAAATTAAAATATAAACAACTTCCATCCAATGTTAATTTGAATAGCTACAGAAAAGTATGGGATACAAGTTAATATCCAAGACCTTACAGCTCTCTCCAGAACAGGAATCTTCGTGCAACACCGTTAAACAGAAAGAGCACCAACCTCTTGTGATAATGTCAAACAAGCTTTATTAATAAGAACAGTTCTCATACACGCAGAAGTACATGGCAAAAGAGCATGTAGCATAAAATCCATCCAAAGTGAGACTCCCTTAGTCCACTGGATACGGGTAACCGATGCTGAACCACTGCAGTTGCTTCTTCAAACATGCATCAAGGCTTATGTGTTTCGAAGGTGCTTTACTTTAGAGCTACCTGACTTTCACAAAATATGCGCATTCACACCAAGTATATGTGTTAATCGTATGGTTTTGTGCGATTAACACATGGTACCGCGCAATGCACCTACTGTGCATTACTGTGTGACAGGTGAGTTGCATTGCCATTCATTTGAAAAGCACCCCGAATGCACCTCCTGGTCGCGATGGGCTCGACCACGTCACAACGGGCGGTACCGCATTACTATGCATTGTGTTGTGGTTAAAAAAAGTAGTGCATGCATGGT